TGAATGTCTGGAGGTGTAGGCACCTCGGAATGATTGTGTTAAGCTAGCACTAAGTCCCTTCCCCGTCCACCTTTATTCTTTTCTTTACAATAAGGCTTTCAAATAAGTCATGGCTGTACGGCAGTGAAGCATTGGTGTTGAGCACTGATGTCATGCTGTCGTTGATGATGATGATGATGATCGTCAGGACCAGGAGTACAGTGATGCTTGAGTACGGATATAAACTCAGACACTTTCGAGTTTGAATGTGGTTCCATATTTACCTTTCCGTTGAAGGCCAGGATTCCGGATTTGATGTATCAGGTGGTCAATGGAATCATTGTTTAAAATACTTTGCTTAACCCCGCAAACGTTCTTTACTGGCTATAAAATGACCATTTTGACAACAGGTTCCCGGGGGCCAGTCGAACGAATCAAGTGGAACAGTCTGTCAGCAGTTTTCCCCTTTCATTTCTGCATGACCATTTTACAGGTTCCCGGGGGCCAGTCGAACGAATCAAGTGGAACAGTCTGTCAGCAGTTTTCCCCTTTCATTTCTGCAACCTTTCGGGCCCATCAAGCTTCTCCGTCTACACGGACACTTAGTTTTACCTAGCGTGAGATGATGCACCTGGTTGAGTTGTGGTTGCAGTCATGAGGAATCTATCGCTTGGCCTCCAGCAAAACCACAGTTCTATCAGATATCCAATAAACGGGTGGGGTTGGCTGGGTTTTACCGCAAGTTGAAGTTCCAGCTTTTATTAGTTCTTCGGACATCTGTTACCAGCGGCTGTTAATATCCGACATCCGACCAATCTCCTCCCCAGAAGACCCTCGGTATTTCGATCCGAAATACACCTGCCTTTTATCTTGCCGGCGGAAAACGACGCCATCCTTATTTCCATGATTGCTAACTACGGATGCTTTGAGGTTCGGACTACCTCCGATTTCTCCGCTTCTATGGATGGCGATCAAATAGGTCAATCTCTTACAATATCATTCTGTCGCCACATTTGAATGTCATCTTCACAATGGATTTGGTTGGCGGCCCTATTCATCCTTTTGCTAAGGTGTAGACGCTCTGTCAATATCCAAGTTTGTGTGCAGCCGTGAACATCACGGCTGAAATGCTGTTATATCACACCACCCGTTGCGCGGTGCCATGTTCTCCCTACTTGATGTATCGAGCACCGTGAGTAAGTGGAGATATGCCTCTGCTGACGCCTCTCTCCTTATATTTTCACTTATCCCTCTGTATTATAAATGTTTCAGAGCTGGGCTACTAACGTTCAATAAGTGGGGTATCCACAGAATATACTTGATGGGGGGACTTCTACGTACCCAGTCAGCCTATCTAAGCACTTGGTCTATGTTAGAGGCCCATGGCAAGTACTTCCAGTCAAAGCCACAGTAAGATTTGGCACACCATCCAACATGTATGTGGAGGGGGTAAAACTGATTGTCCGCTTGTACCGAGCCTGACCTCACCTTGTTGTGTTGGTCTAGCTTCAGTGCTACAATGATCCTGGGGGTTACACTAGCTGGTCAACCATACCATTAAGGCAAACGAGGAGCAGGCCGCAGGCCACAAGAAATCGTGTTGCGATGCGACCTGCAGGTAGAGTCTCTTGTGGTAGGCGTGTGAAGATAGTAAAGCGTTTCCTTCGGGCGATTAGCATGACCATATTTATGAATGCAGTGATGCTTCCTTCCTCCGAGGAAGGATGGGCTATAAAACGGCTCTAAAAACTGCACACTTGGATCGTCTAAGGATTGACCGTGATCACTGGCGCATTACTCAGTGCGGTTAAACTACTTTCAAGAGTATGCTGCTGCTCACTTGTTGTACGCAGCCGGACCAGGAATCAGATAATTATGCCTTATTCGCTACGCTCCTGGACCAGGTTAGCCCCTGCAGCCAAGCAGGTTAAACCAATGAGTTGTTGGCTTTTGGAAAAATCCCGCAAGACAACCCTAATAACCGTTTTTTCTGCAGCCAAGCAGGTTAAACCAATGAGTTGTTGGCTTGGCTTTTGATCCCGCAAGACAACCCTAATAACCGTTTTTTCGTGCGGTTCAGACTTTTAGGTCAGAGGCTGGAACAAGGGTCTCCCACTGCACTGAGTCAGACTTTTGAGTAAAAGATCCAAGGCGATGCACCTCAACCAAACCTCCTTCAACCTTTGCAACCGGGACTCCTCCACAGCTCACATCGGAAAGTTCGGGGATCCAGAAGGTCGGGAAAATTTAAAAGTGAAAAGGTTTTTTCACTTGATTTGTTCAACAGCAAAGCCATCAGGGATCACAGTTGTTGTCTGGTATTCAGCAAGGAATTTTTTGATGGTTGGGCAGAATATTTTGAACGAAATTCACTTGGCTATCTGGTCGAGGTAGCTCAGTTCAGTTCAGTCTAACAACCGCGAAGGGTGCATGTATATGTGGTGGTTTGCATTATCGTAGCTTGCGGCATCGGGAAGTGTAAGATAGTGGGCATACAGTAGGACGTTTCAAAAGACGAAATAGGGGACAGCGGGTTAATGTTTGCAACGTTTGCACGACATCACCCCTGTCGATGATCACAACCAACCACTAATGTGATGGTTCTTTTATACCGCATGCTCAAAGAAGTGCACTGGTACAGCCGAGGCCTTTCTGTTATGTTCTTCATGCTCTCTCTCTCTTGGTCGTGCATTGTCCACCTGATATCTTTCAACCGGAACTCTTCTCAGCATACGAAGCTCGTAGCCCGGCTAGTATAGTTGATTAAGCATAATCAGTTCACTTTGCTTCAGAAGTTTGACTTCTTCATGCCTCTCTTGGTCGTGCATTGTCCACCTGATATCTTTCAACCGGAACTCTTCTCAGCATACGAAGCTCGTAGCCCGGCTAGTATAGTTGATTAAGCATAATCAGTTCACTTTGCTTCAGAAGTTTGACTTCGATTTTAACTTTTGCGACCTAGCAGTTCACTTCGGATTGTGAAACTGCTGGTACACCGAAGGTCATGCTGAACACTTTAGACCACTCAATTCTTCGAATTAGCAGCAAAACAGTACAGCAACTTCCAAGCCCTCTACATTTTTACAGCCGAAACATCTCATTAATATTTCTTTCTCCAGCTCTGCTGTATCCGCATTCGAAATTCACCAACTGGCACTCCTGCTCGCATGTCAGTCTGTCTTAGATCCGTCCCATGGACACAGCATCAGCTCTACAGCCGTTTTTGCACGAATTCTCAAGGCTTACTGCACACGTAAGATTGGTGTACTGAATTTTTTGACCTCGGTTTTCAGTTACAGGATGTCGTTTCCGGTGTTGATAAATTGGGTATTTCTGACAACCCTTTGGACTACTCGGAACGAAATTCAGATGAGGTGTATGCAGGTCTTCCAACAGCCTTCAACAGCAGGCGACTGGCAGACTCTATCAAAGAATGTATGGAACGCCTTACTGCTTCTTCGCTTTCCCCCATGAAAGGGATTAGACCTTTGTTAACAAAGATGGAGTGTCTTGCTGTGATAGCAAACATCTACGGTCATGTAAGTCAGCCTGCATCTCCACTGATTTTCCATTTCCTGTTATATTTTGACGCAGGCAATAGAAATAATGACGTTCTTAATGTGTAGGACCTAACAAGAGCGAGAACAGCATAAAACAGCGCTGAATGGTAACAAATACGAGTGTAATCAGTCGCGTTATACTCTACAGCAGTGTCTCTCATGTGCACCCATCTCCACAAAGTCGCTTGACAACTTTTTTTTACATATGACCTATGTCCTTTTCAACCCATAGCTTTGAAAGTTTACAGGTGACCAAACGAACATTCTCAAAAGATTCACAAGTGGAAAAAGTCGCTCAGATGTTGAACCCTTTTGGTACCTAGCTTCCATGCTGATGGAAGGAGGTACGAGGGTTGTGATACTACGAGGTTGCCCGGGCCTAAGTAGTTGAGATGCTAATGTTAGGTTCGCATCACCAGTCCGTAAGCTGTTGCCTTAACCACTGAGCTATCTCGAGACCTGAAGTGAAAAAAAAACTCGAAATTAACTGGGGTAAATTCACTACATCACTCTGCTTTTCGACCTCTTTTTAGTTGCGGAATGACTGAAGACAATCATTGTCGCCTATAGACCACTAGAACTCAGGCGTAGTTGAGATCGTAACTTTTTCGAGGGTTTTTCATTATTCCTTACTTTCGTGGCTCGCAAAGCAGCTGATCAGCCTAATTCGTGCTAAATCTCCATTACTTTGATTGTTTGTCCATTCGACTGTTCAATTCAGTTAGTCCAAGAGGATCGAGTTCACTTACACTTTTCTCGCCCTCCATTTGGTTATCTCTAACTGCACCGACCCGCGTCTTTAGCTACTCGTCAACGAACAATGAGCCATATCCTTCTGTTGGTGATCAGTGTGCTTCCGTCACCTTGCTTTATTTGCGTGGCTGATCAGTAAAGTGCGACTTAGCTTACTTTAACAGGATACCGTGACTTAAGACACGTTTACGTATCCGACACCCTTCAGGTCCGTCCACATTTCTCCACCGCATTGATTATTCAGTTCCTTCTTGGGCTTATTTTTAGGCTTCTGTTGAGTGTCACGTGTGGGACAGAATGTTCACTGTGAGCGAGCAGTCTGGCCGGTTCCTAGATACTGCTTTTTCTCACATCAACCGTCTCCTGGCCAAGTTGCTTTCTGAGGAGGAGAAAGTCAGCGATGCGACCGCGTTGAAAAGTGCAGCCGCTCTCTTGGTCAAACAGCTGAAGGAACAGAGTGGTTTACTGGATGCAGTCAGCGAGGCCGCTCTGACCGGACAGTTGCCTACTCCACACGCGCACTTCCAGTCGATTTTTGTCGATATAGGTTCGGCCTATTTGGAATGCTATTTTGATGTAAGTAGTACTCAACTCTAGTCGCTGTCCATGGTTTTCCCATGCGACGGTTTCCGTGGGATATTGGGTGGTCATTGGTATGATTGTCTTTTTTTGCTTTGGCTGCCAAACGTTTGCCTTCCACTAGCTCTTCTGGTAGTCCTTCCCTTCCGTTTCTCATCTTTCATCATCCGTTCATCTTTCATTGCTGTGGTCCTGTGGCGTATCCCTACGGGTAAAAGGTGGTGTATTTTCCGGATAGTTGAATTTTTAGGCCGTATCGAAACAGCCCTCCCTCTTGAACGTCTTGAAATTTTGGTGTTAATAATCTGACGTGCGGCTAGTGAGCGCTAACCTATCGGACGGACAGCCGCGTGACTACTGTTCGCTCGCGCCAACCATCTGAATCAAAGGTCACCTGTTTGACGAGTATGAGCGCATGGACGGATCGAATAAATTTTGAATTTGGACTGAGAACGAGATCATCGTGTTGGACACAGGATACGATGATATGTGTACATGGATAGCTCCAATGGTGGCTGAGATGGTAAACCATCTGTCTTCTGAAGATTAAACTGAACCACAAGATCTTGTATGCACATAACCGTCAGCTTTCTGAGAAAGGTACACTGGTTTATCGCCTCAAAACCTCCAAACGAAGATGGTCTCACACAGCCGCGATTCATCATATTTAAGGAAAAATTTCATTTGCACTAAGTGAACGGTCCAGATACCGCGTGTGCCCGATCGCTTCATAGACATTTCAGAATAGATGCGACGAAAATCGTGCGCTGTTACGTAGTTATTGGTTTGACTTGGTCAACCAAGGTATCATTGAATCCTTTCATCACCTTTAAAAATGTTCGAAAAATGTCATCTTGTCGAAACACGATGTGATAGATTTGGGTACTCAGGCATTGGTCAGAAGAGCTCAATACATCGGCTTAGAGGTTGATGGATGGAGATACTGTAGTGTCCTACTGGTAAAAGTGACTCAGATCAAGGCTAGGTTTATTAGCTAAAATTGCTTTTGTATTTGAGCTGGGTACTTAGCTTTCTTCTATTCCAGGCCAAAGCTTCAGTTTCATCGGTTCGGACCACTTTTGCAGCACTCCTGGCCCATGTATAGTGGTTGCGTACCACTCGCTGTAAGCAATTGTGATTCACTCACTCACACGTAGTTATCAGTGATCCAGACGTTTTCAGTCTATCGATAACGGTCAAGTGTTCTAATAGCACATGGACTTATTAATTTGAAGGGTTTAAGGAAATAATGATGAGTCTTGACGTACGTACGGTTTCGTATCCTTTCTATTTCAAAGCCGTTCCACCGAAGAGGTGAAGTATTTTTATGCCAATCAGTTATGCCACTAGCGCTTATCTAGCCAACCGTCAACTCACCGATTGAATGACTCAGAGGTGTAAGAAATGCATTTCACGGTCAATCGGAAAAACTCCATTGCATGAACTAATCCGGACCTTTTTCATGGCCTCTCATTTGTAGGCCAGTAATAAGTAAACAGATAAATGGACAACCAAATGAATAGTAAATGCCAATAAATAAGGCCAGATCAATAACTCTGGTCTTTCACATGTATTATGACCTTTCTTCAGTATATTGTGTTATTGGGTTTTTTTGTTTAGTGGCCTGCGTTCTCCGCCCGAATGAGCTTGATACCGTTTCGTTATGTGGACTTCTTCGTCGGGAAGTCTTGGGCTGCCGTATGTGCTCGAGGATATTTCTACTGGTTTGATCTACACGCCAGGTGCTTGTTTGGTGCCACCAACCTACCTCAGCGTTCACAGTTTTCGTCCACATCAGAGACCAGTCCACCGGTTGTTCACCTGCCCGACTCCGTTCTTCATGCGGCTGTCATAGTCCGTATGCATGGCCGTACACTGGTACAATTCATGCGGCAATGTTGCGAAAGCCGATTGGGCAAAATTCGCCAAAAACTCATAGCAGAGAAAGAAGACAACAAGGAGAATGCACCAAATGCTGCAAATAAACCATTTACTGAGCCTGATTGTGAAGAATGCCCGAAAACATCTGCTTGGGGCAACTCACGCCTATCAGGTGGGCAAACACAGTACTCTTCTCGTTTTTTATGCATCTCATTTGCTATGAAACCAGTTTCTGATGTAGCTGTCGACCGACTAAACGAAAATGACTTCATCTCTTGTGAACCCGGACTGCAACAGTCATCTGTTCGTAGCTGACTTCATTTAATTTTCACATCACCGCTGTTCAAAATCCATATTATAATCACACAGTCAATTCAATGAAAAGGTTGAAACTTTTGGTGGGTTTTGTTGATTTTGATCTTCTGAGCTGTAGTGGAGCACTTCGTTCAGATATCAACGGAAGGTTCCACGTCAGATTGGACAGTACAGTGAGATCCAACCAACATGGCCCCCGGACTGTGTTAGAACACACAGGGTACACGACTACGATAGTATGTCAGCATCCACCCTCTTCCCCGCGGGCAACTTTATAAGCCACAGGCTTTGTTTGAAAGCCCCAGCTGTGTTCTTGTCCATGCCTCAGCCAGTGTTGCTCTTCGTCCTCCCTTCAGGGCGGTGTGAACTGTGGGGTAGAAGTGCCTGCAGTAGAGTCCATCTTCCAGATCAGGGCTCTCGTGACTCTTCCTGCGCTCATTTGTACATGTTGCAATATGTGGCTACTAATTAATTTGAATGGCATTCATGAATTCGTTTTCGATCCCGGTCGCTTAAGTGAATGTTCAAGAGTTTAGGGACCTCGGAATGATTGTGGTATGTTAGCCGGAAGTTCCTTCCCGTCCATTTTCTTCTTTCCACCTTTGCAAACAGAGTTTATGGCTGTGTAGCACTGAATCATCAGTTTCAGCACCAATATTGCTATTATTGATGGTAATGATGACACCACTGCCTGGCAACGTTGCTTTTCTGCTGCACATCACTTCTGGATTTCCAAGCCATTTTTTTATTGTGAGTGTCTGCTCTTGAGCAGTATTCTCTTTACTTGGCTCTAGAAGATGAGTACACTGAACAGATCTCTGAAACCCATGGTAGTATTGATCGCACCTTCTGCGGTTTCGCCCAGCTTTACAGGACAAAGCAAAGTCATGTCGTTTTAGAACAAGTGAAAAACAGCGCTCCAGCAGTGCTCGACGACAACAGAAGCAGTTTTGAGCAAACGCTTCCCTACTCTGCAGGTGGGGGAACTTTGCTTTGTCATGGAAATTGGAGCAGAATCGTGAAGAGTCCTATTGTTAACCTACTCGAACATTGGGGATGTCCGCAACTACCAAACTCAGTAAGACCGCCATTGACTGGAGTTTAATGCCGCTTATTATAGCGTCTGTAGCTAACTACAATGAGACTTTCAAATATAACCAGTCAAACCAAAACCAATCATCGACTGACTTATCCCGGCCGCGTTTTGTCACATCCATCTGTTCAGTTCAGGTCATCCTCCTGACCTTTAGTTGGTCGTGCATTTTTTCAACGTCTAAGATGTCAGTTTGTCTGTCAAGGAAACTGTGGTATGTGCTCGATAGATCAGAAACATGGTCCCCAGGTGCAGGGCATGTACAATGCCTCGGCGTTTGACCATCGGTAACACAGGGCATTGAGTGGGTCTGGTGGTAACATCGGATTGGCAATGCCGGGGTGCGCTAGATGGTTTTGAGGAGAAGGAGCTCTCCTGCGATGGATGAGCTACTCACGCTCCATATGTTACGCTGGTTTCTCAACATTTACTTCGTGCGCCATAGAACTGCCCACCTAGTAAATCTCTTGCCCATCTCTGCTGAATGGAAGCGAGATGTACAGTCCAGTATGAACGTTCTAACCAAGCAAGCTTAGTCGGGTCGATAGGTGCCACATCCCTACATGAAATCTCCCAGAACTCAACTCATTAATGGTTAATGACATCAGCAGACATCACGGAGTTAGTGGCGCTTCTACAGGAAAGTAATCGCCTTCCCTACGTAGCTGCCCAGTTTTCTGGTCCTTCAAATAATTAGGTCAGTTCAGCACGAACTACCTGAGTATGCCATCGCCTCCAATACTTGGCTATATCTCTCACGCTCTCCCATTTTCATCGCGACCGAAACCAGCAACTAGAATTGAGGTACCCTTATTTCATGGTTTAAAGGAAGTAAACTGAACTGAACTAAACTGAACGTGGACTACTGGTAGTGCTAACACTGCTGTATGCAATACACTCATGCCGTCTCCGCTGAGCGACAAACGGCCTTGTCAACTTTGCATCGACATTTGTGAATTTTCTCCTCGGGGCAAACTTTTCTCATATTCTATCTGCAAATTTCGAATCCTGCAAATTTCATTTTAACCCTACCAATCATGTACTGGACTCACCACCCATTCCCTTGCTTTTTGAATAAGTGATCTATTGTATTGCACTAAATTGGTAATTTGGTAAAATCTTCAACGGAGCACGACTCCCAACGTGCTGATTGGCGGCACGTGCCACTCCGACCCAAAGATACTACGACACTCAGTTTACTGAGGGTTTCATGAGTTTCCTCTTTGGTCTTCATTATTAGTTCATGCGAGTCGGGTGGCAGTCCAGTTGAAATGAGCCAAAGACTGCATACTCGCACATGATTGCACATGGTTTGGTTCCCCATTCTGCTTTGGGTGTAGTGAACTATGTCTGAAGTATTGGAATTTATCTTGCCGGATAGCCGAGAATCCCCACTTCATAAATCTCTGTTCGAAACTGCAACTCCGTGATACTAGCTGCACTCGATCATTCAACCATGGCTGGCTCAACAGTCTGCTTTACTCGCACGTAACTAACATAATTTGCCAGCCATTCTTCAGTCGTGCATTTCGCTTTGCCTAATCTCTATTTCGGCAGCCTGTCCAATTTGTTTCACACTCAAAAATGACTGTGTTCACCGAAGTAGGGATAAGAATGTCCAGTGTTTTCGGGTATTTCACTGTTTCTCCTCCGTTCGTCTGTTGGTTCTCTCTCTTACAGACAGCGAACTGTTGAACATTTGGTTAGGAACTCGGCTCTTGGTGCGTGGCTGTCTTCAGGTCGCCGAATTGTACACTTTGCACGGTAGTGTTCGCGAGGCGCGTGCCTATCAGGACGAATTGCTTCGTGTGAGTCAACGGTTTCACATTCCTGCATGGTAAGTATCTGTTTTTGCTCGGTACTACATCTTGTTACCCACATGTTGACTATTTGAACTAAACAGCTGGGCACTTTCGCAACTTGTGAATTCCCACCATAGTCCTCCGTTCGGCTCACACGGCAAGCAAATCAGGTTTTATTCGCTTCTCCGCTTTTGAATGCCATCTTTTGGTTACTTCGTCAGAAACACCTAGCGTGGTCACCGATGACATTTTATTTGATTTGTCCACCGGATTATTCACATGCCATGTTGTGGTCGAGTACGCAGACGACATAGCTCTTCTAGAATCTAACCCCGTGGCAATGCAAACAATACTAAATAATCTAAATAATTGTGCCTCGCAGTTTGGTATGCGCTTCACACCCGCAAAGTGTAAAGTGCTACTGCAAGACTGGGTGGGCTCGAACCCTAGCCTCATGCTTGCGGATGAACCGATTGAGGTAGTAGACAAATTTGTTTA